TCGAACAGGAAAAACAGTCATTTTTAGTTTTCTGTGTTTTCATAATCATATGCTATATTATATTACTCTATATTAATAATAACGTATTAAAATCCAATTCTGTGTGTGCATTCTGTGAATGAAACTATCCGAAGTGAGTTTAAAGCATGTTAATACACACAACTGCACCCAGGTACAGTAAACACGTAAGCAAGGGTCGTGATTAACGGGTAGGGATTAATTAAAATCGACTAATCGATTAATTGACTAAATTCGCATTACATAAGGGTTTGCCTAACGCAACTCTTACGTAAGTAGAAGTTCTAATTTATTTTACTAATAACTTTATGCTTTCTGCAAAGTTGACTGCAGAGGACTGAAGGAACGCTCTGAACCTTGTCCTCTATACCACAGTACTGGAAAAACTCGAAAGTGTTTTATAAAAGTTTTATGGGTTTATGAGAGTGCACCGGTTATAGTTCTTTAGAACCAGATACTTTAAACATACAGTTATGATAGATTGTAGATGAGGATTGGAGGTTGTGGAGAGAGGCATAAGATTAAAGTAGTATTCGTTGGGAGAATTATGGAAGTGGAAAAGCCGAAGTAAGCCAAGAACTCGTCCACTCGTTACTCACAGATTTCTCCCAGTCCGTTGCCGTTTCCATTGCCACCATCTCCGAGACCACCACCGTGACCACCGTGTCCTCCGTGACCGCCGTGAACGTATTCGGTCTTGGATTCGGGTTTCACAACGGCGTCCGTGCCGTATGGATGGGTGTCGTAGTGGCCATAGTACCAGAGCTGACCAGTGGAGCGGGCCTTCCGGGCTTTTGGCTCGTCCCCGTTTCGCAGGAAGTTCACCTCGTTCCACAGGTCCTTTGACCGGTACTGCGAAAACAGTTTTATGCAAACGAGGCGAAGACTCAGAGCGAAGAAGCGCAAGAGACAGAAGAGGTACCTTGCAGAAGTCCACCTCGTTCTCGAGCTGCGTTTGGACGGCCTGCATGAAGTTGTAAATCCACGGCACGCTGACGATGCACGCCACCAGCGTAACGGTGCTGAAGACGGTGGCGAAGAACGCGATCATCCTCAGGTGGTCCGCCTCCTTCAGCCGGTAGCGTAGCTTGGCAGCTGCGTCAGGGTCCGCGTTGCAGTTGCAGTTGCAGCTACAGTCGCGGTCGCAGTCCGTCTTGCCTACCTTCAGCTGCATGTTCGACTATAGGATATCTGTCCGGCGAGGCGGTCCTTCCTTATATAGCGACCAATTG